CCCCTATTTGGCCCCGCCCCTCTGCCCCCAGGGGGGTTATACCCTCCGTTTATACAAAACTGAGAACCCTTTGGCCAATGATGCTCCTGACCAAATTTGGTCAAAATCCTCTGAGCCATTCAGGACAAGTAGCATTTTAAAGGAAAAAGTTGACGGACGCCGGACGCCGGACGCTGCACCATGGGATAAGCTCACATGGCCCTTCGGGCCAGGTGAGCTAAAAACGACATCACACTGAAGGAATTTTAACCAAATTACATGACGATCAAAAGGGCACAATATCATATCACAGGGAAGAAATATGCTAAATTTGATAGAAATCACTTCGGTAGTTCTAAGATATGCTTGACACAATATTGCGAACAGTTGGTCAGTAGGAGTGATTCCAATATACCCCCTATAATGAATTGATGTAATGTTTTTATGTTATGTACTTCAGTCTGCCCTACTAAAGCTGATTGCAAAATATCTGAGATTGGGAATCAATATTTTTCATATTTTGCATAATTCTCCCATCATTTTTCTCAAATAAATGGCCCCTTCAGCCTGGAGGAGAATGAACATTGATTTATATTGAATATGAAAATAATCGTCTATTTATGACTAATAACAAAACCCAGTCCAAATGCCATTTTCCAAGTTTGATTTTATTTAAGCATCATGCACTAACATTTATGTGTCATAGAAGTTTTAAATTGGGATATTTATCAGACTTTAACTAATGTATTTCGGTTATTTAGTAGATGTCAGCTTAAGTCGAGAGGAGAGGAGATCATGACAAATATATATCACTACACAACTATTCAACACACAGACAGTGATTTCTATAACGTTTATAGATGTGAGCAACAAAGGGTTACCTCAACCTTGTCCAGGTGTGTTCCCACAAGTATCACAGGCGGCAGGTGCTCAGCAGCACCGCTGTATAGGTGGACAGAGTTCATCCAGTACGATACAAAATCTGCAATAAAAGATATTGGTTTATTATTTATATATTGTAATTACAAATCAAGAGGAATCTAGAACTTTGAAGTGATTCCCCTGCTACTTTCGGAGAAATATCAAAATTCAGCTGTCAAAATCAAAAGACATGCATCTGGCAGTAATCTTGAGCTTTTTAATCAGTCTCAAAAGTGAAAATGCAGAACGAATGACCAATGTGAGTTTGTAGATAAAATAAAATAAAATAAAGATTTTATCAACGTGTGAGTGATAAGAAAATTTCACGCAACAAAACCTGAAAATAATTTTGTGATAATCTGTTTATGCTCTATGTAATACTGCTTTCTTTAATATTTCTCCATTTATAAAAAGCCAACTAAACACTGTATTTTTCAAATAACTTGCTATAGGCCTAGGCTTAATGATCGATCCTCAGTCTCGAACAAACATTAATCCATTTTCAAGTCATTTTCAACTTCTTTTTACCGCACCATCATCTGATAGTGGGCTATTCAAATCACCCTGCGTCCGTGGTCCGTCTGTGGTCCGCCGTCCATCCTCAAACAATTCTTGTTATCAGTATTTCTCAAGAAGTACCAGAGGGATCTTTCTCAAATTTTATTTATATGTAGGTTCCCCTTGGTCCTAAGCTGTGCAGGGCAACTTTTGAGACTGATCGGATAAACAACATGGCCGACAGGCAGCCATCTTGGATTTTGATAGTGAAAGTTTGTTATCGCTATTTCTCAAGAAGCACCAGAGGGATCTTTCTCAAATCTTATATGTAGGTTCCCCTTGATCCCTCGTTGTGCATGTTATATTTTGAGACTGATCATAAAAATAAAATGGATTAAAAGAAGAACTAAACAGATATTTCTAATACTGCAATGATCGATTCTATTTCTTTCACATTAAGTACTGTACTAGTAAATATGTGAAATGACAAACTCACTTTGAAGGTTGGCTTTCATACACATCAGTATTAAGTTTTGATCAAAAGTTACCTCAAGGTGCATTTACCATTAGCATGACTCGACCAAACAGATTAGAGGAAAGAAGAGAAAAGATCGACTGACAAAGAACTAATAAAGATGGTACAAAGGTGGACGCCAAGATCCCTCTGGGATCTCTTGTTAAGTATTCTCATACTGGCAACCCATGATAATGAATGTATCATGCTACCAGTAGGTGGTATAAAGTAGTATATAGATGATAAAGATCTGTATCGTACCTTTTGTGAAATATTGAAAATTAAAAAGAGGTCTTAGGGCCTTATACATCCATTACTTGAGTTGTAATGCAATCGTTGTTTGATGTTATGATGGGACATAATAAAGGTGCCAATGGCACTGGAGGATTAGCAGCATCTATTATGGTGTTTTTTATAGATTTTATTCTGAATGGGAAAACTTCAAAAAAGTGTTCGTATACATATGTGGAATGAAATATAACAAAACTGGACAAAAGACCAAACAGATATTACATATAATCCTAATAAGTCTGTAAACCATGGATTCCCAGACAAAATGATATATTTGAGTGACCAACATATATATTATATTTATATCGGAGTCAGAATCTTTGTTGTGTGTCCCAAAATCTTGTACTGTGACCTACGGAAACAGATGCTTTGGGAGGGTTTCAGCTACATTGTGGAATAGCTTACCATCTGCTATTAGGAAGTCAAATACCCTGGCCAAGTTCAAGAGGGACATCAAAACTTACCTCTTCACGTCTGCGTTTTAGAATCCTTGCAAAGATGTAAAGCCACCCTATTATTTGTTCAATTATGTGTACATTGCTTGTTTAAATGTATTAAAGTGACTGTAAGCCTTTGTTTTTTGTTTTCACAATTATAACCATTACTTATAAAGCGCTTTAGAGTAATTTTACAAATTATATAGGGCGCTATATAAATGTTGTATAAATAAATGTTATTTTGTTATTATTATTATTAGGGGTATATATATATAATATATAGCTGGTATTGCTCAGGAACAAGAAAATCAGTAAAACTGACGGATTTGCTCCCTGAACAGTTCACCAAGATTGAAATATAATGTGACTTCAATGTGATCTTCGACATACAGACCCCAAAGTGGTATATAATATTGTCACACCACCTTTCCAACCTACATAAATCACTCTATTTCATGGAGCTATCTTCTGCAAGTCAGATGTTATGGTTTTGGCAAAAGATTTGGATAAATGGGCAAATGGACAAAGCAGTGACAATTTTTCCGGTAGCATAAAATGTAAAACAAGAGGCCCAATGGGCCTGAATCTGGTATTAATCTCACACTTGTAATCTTAAAAGTGGACTAACATGCAGCTACAGGAAGAATATCAGTGTTTGATTCATAAGAGCCTATTAAAAGATTTAAACATATGACGCCTGTGACCTTGAATGTCGAACAAGGACATTAGGTTGAACAGAGTTTAAAGTCTTCCAACCCAGCATGCGTTTGGCAAAATATCATAACCCTGGACCTATTGGTTATACAGAACAAGTCATTTAAAGATTTAAACATATATTGACCACTGTGACCTTGAATATGGGCGAAGGTCATTCATTTTGACAAAATTGGTAGCCCTTCATCCCAGCCTGTTAATGACCAAATATCATCGGCCCCTGTGACCTTGAATATATGTAAAGGTCATTCATTTGAATAAACCTGGTTGCCCTTTATCCCAGCATGCTACTGGCCAAATATCATCATCCTAAGACTTTCGGTTATTGAGAAGAAGTTGTTTAAAGGTTTTTAACATATTTAACCCCTGTGACCTTGACAATAAGTAAAGGTCATTCATTTGAACAAACTTGGTAGCCCTTCATCCTGGCATATTACTGGCCAAATATCATTATCCTAGGCCTCTTAGTTATTCAGAAGAAGTTGTTTAAAGGTTTTTAACATATTTGACCCCTGTGACCTTGAATAAAAGTCAAGGTCATTCATTCGAACAAACTTGGTAGCCCTTTATCACAGCATGCTACTGGCCAAATAGCATCATCATCGGCCTTTTGGTAATTGAGAAGAAGTTGTTTAACATATTTGACCCCTGTGACCTTGAATATAGGTAAAGGTCATTCATTTGAACAAACTTGGTAGCCCTTCATTCTAGCATGTTACTGGCCAAATATCATTAGCCTTGGTCTCTTTGTTCAGAAGAAGTTGTATAAAGATTTTTAAGACAATTGACCCCTGTGACCTTGAAAATGGACAAAGGTCATTCATTTGAACAAACTTGGTAGCCTTTCATCACAGCATACTACTGGCCAAATAGCATCATCATAGGCCTTTTGGTTATTGAGAAGAAGTTGTTTAAAGGTTTTTTAACATATTTGACCCCTGTGACCTTGAATATAAGTAAAGGTTATTCATTTGAACAAACCTGGTAGCCCTTCATTCTAGCATGTTACTGGCCAAATATTATTAGCCTTGGCCTCTTTGTTATTCAGAAGAAGTTGTATAAAGATTTAAGACAATTGACCCCTGTGACCTTGAAAATGGACGAAGGTCATTCATTTGAACAAACTTGGTAGCCTTTCATCACAGCATACTACTGGCCAAATAGCATCATCATAGGCCTTTTGGTTATTGAGAAGTTGTTCAAAGGTTTTTAACATATTTGACCCCTGTGACCTTGAATATAAGTAAAGGTCATTCATTTGAACAAACCTGGTAGCCCTTCATTCTAGCATGTTACTGNCCGGCTGGCCGACGGACGGACGGACGGACGGACGGACGGACGCTGCACCATGGCATAAGCTCACTTGGTCCTTCGGGCCAGGTGAGCTAATAATACTTACATATTACAAGAGGCCCACAGGGCCTGTATCGCTCACCTGGGTATTTAAGCAATCATGGCAAAATATTCTCCAAATGAGATCCAAGGGAATATGCCAGACCCCAATACCAATTCTTGTAGTATGTCTGTATTAGATTTGTCATGCCCAGCAGTTTTATGTATGGTTATGGGGTGGGGATCGATCTCAGCTATTTTCAAGCTGTGACTCAAAAACTAGGTCCTTAGCCTTGTGGCCAGACCCAAGGATCAAGTCTAATATCATGACTACATTCGTCTCTTTTTGCCCAGCATTTGTATTTATAGATTTGGGGTGAGGATCTTAACCATTTTGAAGTTATGACCCAGGGGTTAAGTCACCAAGGGTGGGGGCAGACCCATAGGCCATCCTGGAAATATATGTGCATTCATCTCTTTATACTCAGCAATTGTATATGTGATTATAGGGTGGGGATAACAACTGTTTCCAAGCTGTGATTAAGAAACTAGGTCCCTAGGGGTTTGGTCAGACCTCAGGGTCTATTCTAATATCATGACTGCATTGGTCTCTTTATGTCCAGCATTTGTATATATAGTTCTGGGATAGGGATCTCAACTGTTTCAAAGTTATGACTCAGGGACTATGTCTCCAAGGGTGGGGCGGTCTAGAGCCATCCTGGAAGCAAATGTGCATTCTTCTCTTTATACTCAGCAATTGTATGTATGGTTATACGGTGGGGATCTCAACCATTTCCAAGTAATAAATCTTTGGCCCACCACTTAGCTTGGTGGGTCAGCCCAACCATTTGTAAATTTTGAATCCCTTCCTACCAAATATGATCCATACCCATGGCATAGTTTTACAGAAGTCGTTAATAGTAATATAGCCAAATTGGCCCCGCCCCTCAGCCTGCCATGAATGCTTTTGATCAAATATGATTGATATCCAGTGCATAAGAACTCGTTTGTAGCAATATAGCCAAATTGCCCCCTTTTTGGCCTGCCCCTCAGCCCCCTGGGGGTCAGCCCAACCATTTGTACAATTTTGAATCTCTACTACCTAGGGATGCTGCCAGTCAAAAATGGTTGATATCCATCTCTTAGTTCCAGTGAAAGAAGTCGCTTCAAGCAATATAGCCAAATTGACCCCGACCCTCAGCCCCCTGGGGGGTCAGCCTTACCATTTGTACAATTTTGAATCCCCAATACCTAGGGATGCTTCCAGTCAAATATGGCTGATATCCGTCTCTTAGTTGGAAAGAAGAAGTCGCTTGAGGAAATATAGCCAAATTACCCCCTTTTGGCCCCACCTCTCAGCCCCCTGGATGGTCAGCCCAACCATTTGTACAATTTTAAATCACCACCAGCTAGGGATGCTTCAAGTCAAATTAAGTTGAATTCCAATAAGTGGTTTAGAAGAAGAAGTCGTTTAAAGAAATTGTTGACGTACAGACGACGGACGCCACGATATGGCATAAGCTCACCTTGGTCCTTCGGACCCTGTGATCAACAAAGCGGTGGCTATTTTTCAGGCAGCATAAAATGTAAAATAATAATAATATATTATAAAATAGTTAATTATGCCTTCCCCAATTGATGACCTCATGTAATTGAATTCACAGTTGTGATAAAACACCTTTTGACCTCTCTCTAACGAAGAGGTTTTATTTCTAGCATATCTGGGTCTGAAGAAGAAGGTTGTTGAATTTTTTGCAAATTTTCCCCTTTTGGCACCTCCCGTCAGGCACATGCTGAATGTAACTAGAACACTGACAGGTCAGTAAGGGCCCCGTCTTGTGGCAATATATCCGACATAATCATCAAGAAGCAATCTACCCATATAGCTGAGCTTAACGTTTGACATTTGGACTTCAAAAAGAATCGCAAGGAAGCAAAATGTGAGTCTTGTTTCCTTCCACTTCCATATTTGCTTGGCTAACAGAAATGTAAATACTGGTGAAATACTAATTTGTTAGCTTTGATTTGTTTTATTTAACTTTATATACCTCCTCCACCAAAAGCCACTTTGTCTTTGACCTTTGGACCTAAATGACCTTGACCATTAACCCAGTGACCCTGATCTTTGGTCAGTTGACATATTCTTTAATTCCGACCAACTTTGCTTCTCAATATCATAACAAAAATCAGTGAAAAATACAAAACTTGACCTTGACCCTTTTGACCCCATAACTTGGACCTAAGGTTAGTTGACTCTGTGTTAAGTTCTGAACAACATTGCTTCATAATGTCATAACAAAATGTTCATCAGGGAAAAGGTACAAAATTTAACCTTCACCTTTGACCCTGTGACCTTGACCTTTGGTCAATTGACTCTGTGTTAAGTTCTGAACAACATTGCTTCATAATGTCTTAACAAAATGTTCATCAGGGAAAAGGTACAAAATTTGACCTTGACCCCTGACCCGATGACCTTGACCTTTGGTCAGTTGACTCCTTGTTTAATTCTGATCAACTTTGCTTCATAATGTCATAACAAAATATTTTTCAGTGAAAAGATGTAAAATTTGACCTTGACATTTGAGCCTAATGACCTTGACCTTGACCTTGACTTTTTACCTCAATGTGTATTTTCGTGAACTGAACATCTTGACCAACTTTCATGTACATCGGTTAATAAATAACAAAGTTATCAGCCATGAACAAAATTTGTGGACGGACAGACAGACAGACAGACAGAGTGATTACTATAGGGCACCCGTATCTCCGATACGGGGCCCTAACAAAGGTGTTCTAATTCAGACCATAATGTATTCCGCTCTAGCCACAAGGAGCTTAACAACAAGGGTAAGGATACAACCACATTCCACCACCTGTAGGACCCACATTTACTACTGAACACACTACCAACTGTATTATGCAGCCCTCATAATATGGTATGTAAATTATATTACTTTTATGCATGTTAAGTTTGTTACAGAGGCACAGTCTGTGTGGAAATACTCACCTTTGATCTTCATTTCCTTGCAGCCGGTGGCGTCAATAAAGCATTGGTCATTGTTTACAGTGTCGTTGATGTTTTGGTCAAGCCTGGTGACCAGTAGATACACAGCCCGATGGGTCAGGAACGTGTGGTGGGTTGTGTAGAATACAAAGTGTCCTGCAAAGTCCCACACACACAACTCTCCAAGCTTCTGCAAACAAAACAGATCAAAGTCATATAAATTGTGTCACAAGACATCACCTTTTCACTTTCCTTCATTTTTATATCTGAAGAATTCATTCTAAATATTTTCTGAACAATTTTGTATTGTTGCAATTATGTAACTATATACTTACTGTATAATCGCGATCTGCTAAGGGAACTTTAATCAAATTTCTAAGAGTCTTCAAGACAGCTTCATTGGAATTGGCAGGAGTACTAGGTCCTAAGTTTTGTAGATCAACATGATCTGCTCCTGTATTTTTAGAAGCGGTGCTGTCGAGTGGCTGTATCGGTCTTGCATGTCCTGCATTTTGTTGACCATCATTGTCAAATTCATCAGAATTTGAAGCAGTTTGGGCTGATTTGTCACCTTCTGTGTTTGGATCTGCTCCTGTATTTTCAGAACCGATGCTCTGGAGTAACTGTATCAGTCTTGCATCCAGGCATTTACCTGCATGTTGCATGTCTGTTAAAAACAAATTTTTCGA